GGTTCCTATCACAGACATTTGTAGGCCAGTCCTGATCAGGGCCCAGTGGGCACCCATGACATCACAAAGGCAGGTCCCTGGCCAATAAGAGGCTGGCGCACAGGGAGGTGGCGGGCAGAAGTACGCTGCCATCTCCAGAGGCCAGGCCAGAGGGACAGTCGGGCTGGGAGGGTCGGGTCAGAACCCAGCACAATCATGTCTCGGAGAAGAAACCGCTGGTCCTGGTCCTTCCACCGTCGTAGGCAGCACTCCCTCTCCCGCTCCACCAGAGCCGAGCTGCAGTTCCCCGTGAGCCGCCTGGACCGCCTCCTGAGACTGGGTCCCAATGCCCAGCGCCTGAGCTCTTCCACCCCCATCTTCCTGGCCGGCATCCTCGAGTACCTGACGGCCCACATCCTGGACCTGGCGGGCGTGGAGGCCCGCAGCAGCCACGATGTGCGCATCACCCCCGAGCACGTGCAGAGGGCGCTGGACAACCACGAGTACCTCAGCCGCCTCTTCCAGCCGGGTGCCTTCCCTCGGGTCTCCGCGATGCCCGTGCCCGAGGACAGGTTGTGATGCCCACGTCCCAGGGCCCAGCCAGGCCTCAGTAGCAGCCTCAACTCACCTCCAAACTACCCACAGATGAGGGAGGCCTGAACTGCTGTCAGCACAGCTATTAAAGCGTTCAAACCGTTGGCTCTGTTTCTGTCTCCTCTCCGCTTGTCGTTCTCAGTTGAGGCGCCTGTCTGTAGGACATCCAGGAGGGGCTGCGTCGTGGGGGTTAGGGGTGGAAGGTGTGGTCGGGGTGGGATGCTGGAATCCATGATTTCAGGGAGCGGTTTCCAGTGGTGACGGTGCGGGGAGTGGTCCTGGTGGGAGGAGCTGGCCGAGGTTGTGGGGGGAGAGGACGTCCTCACTGGCTCTGAGGGAGTCCAGGCTTATGGGGCCGGGAGGTGGGCGGGGGCTCCCAGGCACGTTGAATTTCCCAGAGTGATGGTGGTAACGGGGGAGGGGCTGAAAACCGTGACCCGCCGAGGTGCTGAAGGCTTTATTCATGATGGGGACCGTCTAGAAGTGGGAGGTGATGACAGCGGGGGGTGGGTGCAGAGGGTGATGGAGCAGTTGGCATGGACCTGGTGGGACAGGGCTTGTCCATGAAGATGGAGGAGTGACGGGGAAACCATAAAGAAGTACACATAGAGGGGATGATGGCCCTGTTGTTTTCGTACTTATTCCCTGCCTCATCCCAAAAAAGGACTTGAGGCAGGGATTATTGGCTACTGCTGTGATACTCTCTGTGGAATACATCCTTCTGTCCTCTCCTGTGCACACTGGTAAATTAAATAGCAATATCTTGAGCTACTGTCTGGTCTAAGGCATGCAATTCAAGTAGTTCTCAATGATTACTGTTCCTGAACTTATTTTTGAATGTATCCCATTATAAACGCAATTATAAATCTCATTCTCAGAAGAAACACCTAACCTGTCTATGATCATTTATGTCATAGAGTAACAGGTTTTCAGTGGCTGAATACATGTTTTAAGATGTAAAAAAAAAAGGATATATGAGTATATTCTATATAAATTCTGTCCCAAGTGATAGACTCAGAAGCACACACAACTCTTATAAACACTCTGATATGCTGTGTTAAGGTTAAAAAAAAAGTTGTCACATCAAGTGTTGTAAAGAACTAAGTCCCCTCCTGTTAGTGTCGCCATGTCACATTTTCTCCTGTTCATCATATGCTCAAGGGCCCTCTCTGCTGCCCCACCCCCGGCCTGTCACAAAGGACTGACCAGAGGCTGCCCAGCCGGCTGCAGCAGTGAGATCACTGGTCCTGGGTTCGCCATCCCAGTTCACCACTTTCTGACCATGTACTGGTCAGAAGTTGAATGTTCATCTATTTCCGTGAGAGTGGTTTCCTCACGTGTAAAACAAGGATAATAAAAGTTCCTCCCCTTTGGGGTTTGCCCTGAGACTCCATCAGCGTGTGCCTGTGAACACAGAGCCTGGCACAGGGCCCCTTCACAGACATTGCACACGTCTCCCTGCCCGGGTACCACATGCTTAGGCGCGCTTCCCCAAAGTGCCACTGGACCTGCTTCTCACGTGACTGCTGGATGCCTGGGTTCCTGGCTGTGAAAACCATGGCCTGCTGAACCTCGTTAGGGAGACAGAGGGTGCCATGCAGAGGAAGAAGCCAGGGCTACTTCCGCAAACCGTTCAGTCCTCACTCTGGTCTCCTCTCTGCTCCCCTCTGCCTGGTGACAGCCGCTCTCTGCCTCCTCCCACCACTGATGGAAGCTGGGAGCTGGCTTAGCCTTTGGTGGCTTCACAGGAGTGTCCTGAGAGCAACAGTGTCAGGGTTGTGCTTGGAGCTCGTTGGAGTAGGTGCTTGTATAAATCCAAGAAACCTTGCTTGACACCTAGTGCCCATTCCACCAAATGTCTGTAGAAACCTCGTTGTCAGGATGTCCACCCCACATGTTTGTGTTGGTTCTAAGACCCGCGAAGCCCTCCGGGCCTCAGCCACGTTCTGCTCGTCCTCTTCTGTGCGTCTGAGTAGCAGGCAGGCCTGTCCCCGGCAACTGCAGGTGGAGAGTCGCCTGGACCTGGTCACACGGTGGCACCAGCAGTGCCGCCCCATCCCCGAAGTGGAGCATCTGTGTGTCCAGGCCGTGGTTTCCCATCTTCCAGTGTCCTTCAGCCCCAGGGCGTGCCCCCAGGGTGGGCGGTGCCAGGGAGCCAGTCATTACACTCAGACCCTGACGTGTGGGTTCAACAGCTGTCTGATTACTGAAAGCTGTTTGTTTTGGCTGATAGCTGTGGCTTGTTTTAGTGCAAAACATCGTCTCCTAAATACCTCACCAGAAGTCACACCAGAGGAATTCATTAAAGGCCAGGGAAGTCATAGTAGGTGGATGGACCGTGTCAGGTGAGCAGGTCTGTGTGCTCAGGTGGTCACCTTACCGTCCATGCCGTAGTCAGCACTCCTGGTCCCTGTGACACCTGCAGGGAGCCAGGCTCCCTGGGCTCTTCCAGACTCTGTCTGACGTCCGGGTTTGGAGGTTGAGCTTCCTGACCTTGTGATGGCGGAGTCACAGGGACGTGGGAGAACCAGGCAGAGCTATACCGCCATCCCTTTACGGATCAGACTTCAGCCGTGCCTGTGGATTTCACAGGAGACACGGGGCCACGGCCAGCATGTCATCACTGTAAATGTGACACCCTGCCAACCCCCCTCCTCCGTGTGCCCAGGAACCTCCACTCAGGAGAGGAAGGCGGCAGAGGGGGAGAATCCCTGCCCTTGGGAAAGCACGAGCCACACCAGTTTAGGCATTTTGTGCATTTCAGAAAGGTGGGAGGGGGCAGCTGAGGAGGATTTGTTCTAACCTCGGCCCTAAGCAGAGGACACCACTGATGACCATGCCCTGTTGGGAGTGAGCACAGACGGGGGCTGGGGAGGCTGTGGCTGCCAAACCAGGTCTGTGATCAGAAGCAGGCAGCCCAGGATCAGATGCCAGACACAGGTCAACACAGGTGAAAACGTCCTGTGTGAGATGACATGAGCCCAAGTGTCGAGCCTGGGAAGATCTTGGAGAGTAATACTGGTTTGCTGTTGGTATGAACACAAGGCCTGGAGGCTAGACTTGCCCCCACTGAGGCATTTTGATGGCCCAGGCTCTCCTGGTCCCTATATCTGACATATCCTTCAGGATGTAACCAGAGGGAGATCACCTGATTCTTTGAAAAGGGACTTTGGAGCCACAAAATAGAATTCAAGAAAGAAGGGTCCTTCCATGAACATCAGTACATCATTTCCTGAAGCATAAATTACAGAATGGCAGCTCCTAGACCTAAGCTGGACAGCAGATGGGTTTCCTAGTCCTATACCGACGTTTTTAAAGAAAATTACTTATCTGCTAACATTTAGAAATCAATAACTTCTTACCTGAATACAGGTATTGGCAGAGGGAGCCATGGTGGAGATGCAGTAAACATAGTTGGGAATCTAGCAGAAAGTGTGTGGGTTCCAGAAGCAAGCGGCCAAGGTGAGGACTCGTCAGGAAGTTCACGGGTGGAGGATGTAGCCCCTAGGGGGGGTTTCGGCAGATGGTGCCTGTGTGGAAGGTGTAGCCATTCTAGGGGTTGATAGATGAGAAGGTGGCGGGGAAAAGGGAGAAGCCAGCCTAGAGGAAGATTTTGCAGGAGTTGGATGAGTGTAGGAAATAACCATTCTCTGGTAAGACCTAGAAGGCTGTGCGTGAGTGGAGGGGGCATCTAGGCCACAGGAAGACTTGTTGGCCATGCGTGCATGGAGGGAAACCAGGCTAGTGAAGTGTCCAACAAGTGTAGTAGGTAGGGGGTGTAGCCAACCTCGGACATGAGCCTGCAGGAAGTTCTTGAGTGTAGAGCATTGATACCCTAGGGTAAGGCCTGACAGGAAGTGCTAGAGATGAAAGAGAATTCACACAGGGAAGTCGTGGTCAGACCTAATTGGTGGGTGAAGCACTGACCCGGGGAAGACACCAAAGGAGGTGCATGGAAGGAGGTGACATTCAGTCTGTGGGAGGACGGGACAGGAGGTGCTTGGGTAAAATGAAGAGCTACTGTAGGGCAGGGTCACGTAAGACTGTAAGTGGGGGATTCAGACAGTATTCAGCAGGAGGTGTGAAGGTGAAGTGTGCAAACTGGCTAGAGGGACATCTGCTGGGAAGCATGGCTGGTGGGAGCATCTGACCCAGGGAATACTCGGCAGGAGGTTCATGGGTAGCAGGCTGAAATAACTTAATACTTGGTTCTGATGTTCTGTAATTGGCGATTTGACATTTTGGAATCACTGGGCTGTGCCAGTAGCCCAAGGTCGTTTACTTCCCCACCACTCCAGTGTTTCTGTGAGCACGAGGGAGTCTTACTACAAACCCTTCAACCACAAGCTTCAGGCTGTTTTGCTTCCTGCTCTTGGGGACTTCCTCACCTCGCTACTTCTCACTTCTGTAGTAATAAAAGCCCCAGGTCCTGTCTCTCTGCTTCTCCCTGCACGTGACCTCACGTGGGCCTCTGTGGCATGTGGTACCTCCCATCCTCTGGGGAACTGTGAATAATACACTTTTCTTTGAAAGGCAGTTGTCTCCATGTGTGTTATCTTAGCAAATGTGATTAGAACAACTCTTGGGTATATTTTAAAACTGTTGGTACGGCGAGCAGGGAAGTTTGGTAGCAGATGGGGATGCCACACCTCTTGGTGTCCTAACTGAATCTATCAGACAGCAGATACTGTGTGGGAAGGCACTGCTGGCCATTGGCCGGCTTATGCTTCAGCGGCCGTTGCATAGTGTTGTGTTTGTACGGTGTTGCCTTGGCTCTCTGATCTGTGTTGTAGCAGAGCTCAAAATGCTGAGTCCTTCCTGAGCAGCTGTCCAGCTTAGGGTACTGTGGCCTCCAGTGGCTCCTTAAGTATTTATAATGCAGCTCATCTGGATGAGGTTCCCCAGAAAGCCTGGGTAATTGGCTGTTGTGCTGTGTGAAGGTCGTCCCAAAGGAGCAGGAAACAATTACCTCTCTCCTGATACAGTGGAGTCTGATCCCCCGAACCTCTGCTAGGATTGATGTCTGTAGATGCTACTCAACTAAAAGCACCTGCCTTCCTCATGCAT